TTATGATAGAACAAATTTTCTGAGACTAGTTGTAAATAAAATATTAAAAATTTCCTTCTTTACTTAATACTTTCCATTTATAGTTTTGTTGTCTCTTTTTTTCCTAATACTGTGACATATACACTATTAGAAAGTGAGTCTAATAATTATGACCTTATTATGAGATTTCTAAAACACCCATTATGCATCCTGTCCAGTTTTTTCCATATAGACTACTACCAATCATCAAAAAAACCTCTCTAATGTTTGATGATTTATTTAAGGTTACATTCTCATGATCATTTCCAGACCGATTTATTTTTTGGAGTTCATTGGTCATCACTTAGTGATGTTGCCAGAAGCAATGCTCTGCTGTCAGGAAAATTTCAATACATGTTGTCTCTAAAATCAAATTCTTTAGGATGGCATTCAAGGTTCTTTTTAACCTGATCCCCTCCATCCTTATTTCCCTCAATGACGAACAGCTCTTCTCTCTTTCTCACTGTGTCCACTCATTAACCACTTCTCCTGCCACACTGTTCCATTTCCATATATACTGACTCTGCCCATTATTTCTTAAAAAATCATTATTACAAATATTTATATTTGGCACCTTTATCAAATATCTAAATCTTTGCCATCCTTTACTTAAAGACCAGTTTACACATAATGCTACTTATTTATAAAGCTATTCTGATATAAATCCAAAGAACAAACCTACTGTCATCAAGTTAATTTTGACTCATAGTGACCCCCATTGGGTTTCTGATATGGGTTATTAATAAACTTTTAACTTAATGACCCAGACCACCCTGATCTCCATTTTCTGAGACCTTAAGTGTGTTATATACCAAACTGAATCAACAATTTCTCATCTCTAAACTACATTATATTTATATGTGTATGCACAATTTCTTTATAACATTGTAAGCTTTTTGAGATCAACTATGCCGCTCCCCGCCAGGTAGCCAGCTATCTCTTTAAATTGGGAGCTCTGATAGCATAGTACCTAAGGCACTTGACTGCTAACTAGAAGGCTGGCGGTTCAAACTCACCAGTCACTCCCCAGAAGGAAGGTTGGGAAATCTACTTCTGTAGTGCCTTGGAAACCCAAGGAGGGGTCACTATGGGTCGGATCCAACTCCACGGCAATGGTTGTGTTTTTTTGTTTATAACTTATACTTCTGTGAATGGAACTGTAATATATTATAGACAAAGAAAAAATTTATTCAAATCATAGCTTCATCTTCACCACCTGGGATAAATGAACTTCTTTTCAGTGTCCTACAAAAGATGGTATATGAC